AAAAAAAAAAAAAAAAAAATACAGCTAAAAGGAAGAAACACAACTTCAAAGATTTTTCAGTGATGAGAATCCACATTTGTATTTCAAGATAATGTAGTTTAAAAAAAAAAAAGAAAAAAACTTGATGTAAATTCCTCCTTTTCCTCTGGCTTAATGAATATCATTTATTCAGTATAAAATCTTTATATGTTCCACATGTTAAGAATAAATGTACATTAAATCTTGTTAAGCACTGTGATGGGTGTTCTTGAATACTGTTCTAGTTTCCTAAAAGTGGTTTTCATAGTAACCAAGTTATTTACAAGAAATAAGGGAAATACAGTGGCATCCTCACATTATAAAACCCTCAGGTCAGAAATGACCTTTCAGGGTTACCTACTTTGGAGTGGGGAACAACAGTTTGATTTTCTCAGATTATTTAGCTAATTAGTCTGTTTGAAGCAGTTTAATCTAAGGACATTGAGATGTAATAATTTCCAGTAAAAATGGGAGGTAGCTGCCAACCCACTTGAAGTGAGATCTCCAAAGGTTACTGGCCTGAAAATGTAACATTCTGCCTTTTAACTAACGCCATCTGAATTTTAATCAAAGATCAATCTATCCATGTTTCTTCTGTGTGCCTCAAAGTTATTTTGCATTTAGTTTACTCCATGGTGTATAATATTTATATTGTGCAATGTTAAAAAGAGTTGTTATATTGTATGTGGTGTACATAGTGCAAAGTGATTATTTTTATTTCAGGACATATTATTCTCATATTCCTTCCTACCTGGTGCACAGTAGGTTTTTAATACTCACCAACTCTAACTTTCTCTTCCTGGGTCATTGACTGTTATTGTGTAACAATCAATTTCTTTGAAACTGCTGCATAATTACACTGTTAGTGGATTCCCTTCGTATTCTGACTCTACCTCTCTCATACCTCCTCCAGTCTCCATGTACCCAACAATTCCCAACCCTCTGCCACACCTACTGTCTTGGTTCACATTGCTCACAGTAATATATGGAAGAGCTAGACAGGAACATGCAGTTATAATCAGTATAAGACGTGGCTGTAGTGTCACAAGAAAAAAAATGATTTTTCTTGCAGTCTTGTCTGTCAGCTCCCACGTTGTTTAATCAAACAGTTGTCTTATATTACAATACAGCAATATACATGTTGTATTAAATACCCATTCATAATTAGACTTTAAATAAACCTGCTTGCTAAAAACAGATTTTAGTGCTCCAAGCGTAAAACTTGGAAGTTTGTAAGAGGGATTCAGTATTGCACTAATTTCTCTCTTACAAAATATGAATAAAAGATATACACAAACTCTGAAGTTACATAATATCCCAATTCTTTTGTCAAGCAGAAGAGTAAAGTCCTCATGAAAGACTTGGTGTCATGCTTTGAGCTGTAGCCAGTGTCCAGAGTCTGCCCACTGGGCAGTGTGGGGACCTCCTGACACAGCACTCTCTAGGCTCCTCCAGGAAGACACTAGCCTCCTCTCTCCACTCTCACTCCAGCACCAAGACTTTCAGAAGCCCATGAAGAATTTACAGCCTGTTTAAGATAATCTTGCCTATAAATTGAGTTATTGCTTTGTCCTAAAAATTAGTTGTTTTTCTTTTCTATGAGGCTTTTCAGAAATTTACAGGATGCCCATACTTTAAATGTGTAACACCCCCCCTCAAAAAAAAAGATAAAAATAAAGGTGCAAAGAAAGTTTAGTATTTTGGAATGGTGCTATAAAGTTGAATCTGTTGGTATTTGACTGAATTTTTTAATGTTATGTAAGAAATATTGGGTGGCATCTGCTCAGAAATATATTTTTTGGTGTTTTGATTAAGGGTACAGAATCAGTTCTTAATCATGATACAAACTCTTCAAAGACCAGTTAAGCCATTTTTAGTCATAGGAAAAGTTTTAGAAGGGTATGTGGGCTTGTACCTTACACCTTATTAGCTCTAACTGCCTCTTACAAAAGCAGACAGCCTTTGCCCTGACAATCCATTCATTTCAGAACTGCTGGCAGTCTTTCATTTCCTCTAAGGCCACATGTACCAGTTTCTCTCATCTGTTCCTCTACAAGGAAGCAAAAAAAGTATCCTAATGAGCCACATTGGCCAAACCCCATTTGCTTCTGGCTGGGTTGTGGTTGCTTTACCTGGAGAGCCCAGCCCAGCAGCACCAGCCACATGTGTCCCTAGCACATCAGAACTCAGATGTTAACTTGAACATAATGGTCAGGCAGGTCTTTTAAAACTAATAAATATTTCTCACAACAGTACGTAACCTGCCAGGGTAGCACATTATTCTGACAGAGATGTACTGTGTACAAAATGTTACCAAGCTCCATCTAGGCTCTAAAAGGTTGTGAGTGAAAAGTGGCACTGCTGAGTTACATTCAGGCTTTCAGGCCAAAGGCCTCTAGAAATCAACTAACCTTCACAATACCCCATTTACACATTGAAGACACTCACTTTTGTGAAGGAAGGGACAGTGTGGTTCTAGTTGCACCTAGTGTAGCCTGCAGGCTTGACTGCACCCTGCAGGTGCTCCGAGGCCCCAGTTCCTGGGAGCGTCTGGCTCCTGCCCGGTCTTAGGTGAGGGTGCGTTTGCCTGGTGCTGCTGCCCCCGTGCCACAACAGCAGCCCTGAGTGGTCGGGCTCACTGAAGTCACAGGGTCTCCACCTGGATCCCAGCTGTTAGGTGCACCCCTGCCATCCCCAGGCTCTGGTTATCTTTTAGAATGCTCTAGGTCATGCAGTCCTCCGAAGTGTCAGTGTCAGAATTTCCCAGTTAGCTCACTTCAGAATTTGAAAACAGAAAATCTGGCAAGTGTGGGAAGGAGGAGATCACCCAGTGTATCACAAGTGCAAGACTTGTCTTCCCAAATTTTAATTCAGGGACTTGAGGTTTTAGCCCAGCCTTCCCCAAAGTGTATTCTGAGAGGAAGAAAAAAAAGGTGTGTGCAGGCTCCTTGTGGCAATCTGTAATCCATACGCCTGTTTATTCTAAGCACTTTCTGACCTAATTAGTCTGGAACCTGCATATTTCTTTTTCACTAATTAATATAAACATACTACAGAATTTTGAGGAATAACCTACTAACTAGTCAAAGATCATCCTGACTTTGTGTAAAACTATTTTCCTGTCCTATGATTTCTTCTGCTGAAATTGAGATGCCTTTGTTGAATGAAATGTCACCTCAGTCTCCTCATCTGTGATATGGACATAACACCAGGATTCATAAGGGTTGAGTGATATGAAATCAGTGTGTATTAGTTGTACACGGATATACATACATGTACTTTGGTGCTCTGAAGCATGTTCTGCATTGTTTTAAATAGATGCCCTAAAGTGGTATTTTCCTGTTTTTACAACCTGTCACACAGTTTGTGTGGCTGTCACAGAGTTTTTAGCAAAACCTCTAGGGCCTCAGGCTGCTGCTCACCTGTGTTTAGTGCCAAAGTGTTATTCTCTTTTGGATGTAACATCTAGGGGTGTTGGGAGACCTGCTCTCTGCGCAGATCTGGAACACAGTCCTGTGACAAGTTTGTGCTGCCGACCACAACACACTTCAAAGGCAGATATGGCAGGTGGCCCCTCACAGTATTTGGCTTGCTATTTCCTTTTATTTGACGCACAACAAAGTACCTGTCTGCCTCTCTCTGTGCCCACTGTACTCTGTCTTCCCACTTAGCTGAGTTGGCTGTAGTCTTGTGGCTGTACAGGTGAGGTTCAGAAAAGTCTTTCTGCGCAGCAAAAGGTTGCACTAGTGAATGAAGCTTGAGCTTGGCACTCTTACATAAGTTGGCCATTTAGCAGGCTCAAGATCTACATATGTACAAACTAGATTTTCCCAACACGTCCAGGACCTACCCGTGAATGTGGCTGCTTGGGAGATAGCCTTCACCAAAGGAGTGATTTCTTCATCTGAGGACTGCAGCATGGGCCGCAGTGCCTTCTGGTAAGTAAGTGGTAGTTATTTGATATTTAATCATGTCTTGCATTTGAAGGAATTTCACAGCTCCTAGTTGTTCTCTGTAGAGAAGACTTGATATAAAACATCATTGTATCCACCCTGTGACAAGAGGCCGACACCTTATAATATGCTGAACTGCCACCAAGCCAGGATCCAGAATGACTGCCCAAGACTTTTTTTTTTTCAGCTTCACATGAATTCCACGCTAGACCAGGTATGTTTGAAACAGAAGCCATGAATAATGCCCACTGAGCTAAGACCAAGAGGAGTCTTTTTTTATTTCAGCACAGAAGCAACATCACCTGTTGACTTGGGAAGTGGGGAGTGCAGTAGTTGTGGATGTTGAAACCAGGACCTCACACAGGGCAGGCAAGCGCTCTGACTCTGAGCTCCACCTCTGCTCCACATGTGCACTATCTCTGTGCATCTGTTAAAAATGGCACTGTTTTAAACCAAAACAAGGAAAGCCTAGGCAATTCTCTATCTTCGCCCTGGTCTCTGTCTTGCTGTCCTCTCCGTAACCCTCTGAAGCTTATCTGTGTTTTGTGTTGAGAAGAAAACACAGTTCCCTCCTCAGTCCAGCAGCCCTTTCAGCTGCCCCCTCCCTCTCGGGCCCATGGTCTGTAAGA